TTAAAGGGGTCATATGATGCGTTTTCAAGTTTTCCTTTCTCTTTGGAGTGTTACAAGCTGATTGTGCATAGATAAGATCCCTGAAGTTGCAAAGACTAAAGTCTCAAAACCAAAGAGATATTCTTTATCAAAGTTAAGACTCTGCCACGCCCCCCTAAAACGGCTCGTTCTAACACGCCCCCACATATCTAGGTCCCTATGTGGGAATATTTGCATAATGCGCCCAAATGTGCACGCAAAGAAAGAAGGCGTGGTTTCAGTAACCGCAGTTAGTGTTGAAGCAGTCATGTCAGGGAGACGCTGTGTGTTTCTAGGCGAAAGCAAAAGCACTTTATTTGGCCTTCCGAAAGTAGATGCATTTAGGAATCTTTAAGATCACTAACAGCAATGCATTTTATGGACGACCGTTTTGTGAACCTAGGAGAGGAGGTAATTCTGACTTTGCTATGACAATCTGGCGCTTCTGAATCAGCTACTGTTTTGTTATTAGTTTAAGTATTTGCTATTGACTGTTCAAATGTGGAGTTTTGCGCAGCGCAGAGTAACGCGTTGTGTGTGTGTGAGGGGAACAGGGTCACATCACAGGAGAGTGAACTGCCTGTCAGAAATCATAGCACGTCAGCTGTCTTAACCGCGGCTTGTGTACTGCATCATCTCTGTGTCTGTCACGCGACTCTGTTGCCTTTTCGGGCTTGAACTGATGGTAAAACTAACGACATTATTAACTGTCTTGATATTTACTTTGAAAGCTGAAGCTCGCGATTATGGTAAGGGGCTTTACATTTCCGACGAGTGCTTGCGGTGTTCGGCCAATCACAATGCACTGGGTCAGCTGGCCAATCAGAGCAGACTGCGCTTGTCAAAGGAGGGGGCTTTGTTGAAAACTACGTGTTTGAGAGAGGCGGGGCATAGAGGACCTACAATAATGTACAGTATTTGAAAAATAATGTGTTTTTTGAACATTAAAACGTCAACGTATTCTGTTACACCAAATACACAAAATAATGATCTTTAAAATAGCATCATATGACCCCTTTAAGTCGTTTAAATGTCTGTCTAGATTGTTTCAATAGAGTGTAAAATAAGCAATAATATGACAGCATTGATATCATAAATTTGATGTATGTTAATTTCAATAGCTCATCTCACACAAAAAATTATTTTTCAGGCTGGTTTGCTGTGGTTAAACATAAAAAGGTTGGCATAATTGAGTTCACATATTCATGACAATCTGCCATGTGGGATCCTCACCATATGCCCCTCTATTAAAATCCATTGTGACAGTTTACAATTAGCAAAGTCAGTCTGAACAACACATTTAGACAGGATCACAGTTACACATCACACAACACATGAAGATGTCATCTAGTCCCTATGAACACATTTGTCAGCATGTCTGTGGATGTTGAATACAGCAGTCAGTCCCTCCAAGATTTTGCAAATCTGTGAATCCAGAATTTAATGCAGACTCTGTATTATTTGTGGCAGCTTGCATTTTTGTCTTATTTCAACAACAAATTAATCAATACTGTGCAAGCAATCCAATGCCTTGTTTATAATGTGTTAAGAGTGTGGGATGTAATTAAAGTTTCTAGAGGTTTAATGATACTGTTAAACTACTTATATGTAGTGCTGAATATAATGTATATTGGGACGAATATTTGCTCGTCCCCATACATCATTTTACTGGATTTGCTCTTTTTAAATATTTCTAGTGAATGCAATAACTGATAATACTATTATAAATTATATATATATAATTATGAAATAATTTATTTTTAATGTAGAGTATATAGTCACATGTTGTATTATTGGTGGGTTTTCACTGCAAAAGAACACAAGAAACAGTTTTTGAGAAAAGCTGCAAATTCAGTCATTTTAGGCTGCAAAATCTAAAAGAAAAAAAAAGGATCCTGCTAAATCCTGGTGGGACTGAGCAGTGGTATATACAATATGCACAACCAATACAGCAGTTTTATTCAAACGCTATTCTAATTAATAATGCATGGCTCTTTTTCCTTTGTGTCCCTGCAGGGTTGTCAAAGAGGAAGTCTCTGACGATAACACCAAACTGCCTTGTTTCAACGGGAGAGTGGTGTCATGGGTGAGCTGCGATAACCTCTGCCTTATATAACATCTGAATCAGAGTGGAAAAGGCAGGCAGTCATGCATTCATATGTCATAAGAAAGATGCAGCACATGTGCTAAATCATACACTGCATCATTCTGGACATCACCAGTTTTAGTTCACTGATTCATTACACTAATTAAGTCAGAAAGGCACTTTGATGTCAGACCGATTCTCTAAAGTGTAATGCATAATTCAGGAAATTGCGTTCTGCTGAATGCCATTTTTATTTAGTGCCTTTGAGGCCTTTGTTTGTTGTGGTCTTTTGTCATGAGTTTAGTGGAACAGTTCAAACATCCTGTTCATCCAAACTGTATGAAGGATAAAGAAGAGCCATTGAAACTTAAACAAAAAGCATCTGAATTAGACACATTTTTTTAATATGCATTTATGTGTCTGTTTGTAGCTTGTATTGGCCGAGAGCTCCCATACGGATGGGATGTCGGTGTGCACTGTCAGTCATACTGAGCTGCCCCAACCGCTGGAGAGGACAGGAGGTATTGGAGACTCCAGACCCACCTCGTTCCAGTGAGTATCAATACACATGTATCCTGTGAAGCAAACACTCCTGAACGAATCCACTAAACAGATGCGCCACTTGTGCATGTAGTATTTCAGCACAAAAATCTGGATCAGTGTGTTGGAGTCACACTGTCAAGTCACAGCAAAGTATGCCAGATTATAATAATCTGCATCCTCCATCGTCCTAAAAATCAGTTATCATTTTACATTAGAGATGTTTTTTATTGTTTTTTTTATTTATTTATTTATTGGTTTTGGTTGATATTGGATATTTAATTGTAGATGCTAATTTTTTCAGTTTTTTTTTTTCTCATTTAGATTAGCTTTGCTGTCATTTAACAGTCACTTATAGGCAGGGTAGGTGATTTGGTTTGCGCAGACATGATACGTCATCGGTGCATTCCATTACACTATTGCAGGCCGAGCGAGATTGGAAGGAGTTATTATTGTAATATTATTCACTTTGTACTGTAATGTTTTCTCACCGGTGAATGAGACATGAGGTAATCTGACAGCCTTGCATTCAACCCTTTACCAATGCCGTCTCTTATTGTGTCGCTGGTTAGCCCTTGGTCTACCTGTGCGCATTCAGTGATTATGCAGGGAGGGTGGGATCTTGCTTTCAATGCTAGCTTGCCATTGCTAGCCTCTCTAAAATCGCCTATCCTACCTTTAAAAGTAGTTTTATAAAAGTAGTTTTAGTTTTATTAAATTATGAATGTTTTTAATCACTATTAAATGAAATCTTTAGCAATTCTCGAAATAAATATCTATTTTTTATACTCTACATTATAATGTTGTGATGACTAAATTCACTTGTAGCCTTTCAAATGATTCATTTTATTTTTTATTTTTAATTCAGACAAATTTATAATAATTTTACTACCTATAGTATATACCGTTCAAAGGTTTGGGGTCTTTTTTCTCAGTATTTTTAAGAAATTAATACTTTTATTTTACAAGGATGCATTAAAGGGGTCATATGATGCTATTTTAAAGATCATTATTTTGTGTATTTGGTGTAACCGAATATGTTGACATGCTTTAATGTTCAAAAAACACTATGCCCCGCCTCTCTCAAACACGTCGTTTTCAACAAAGCCCCCTCCTTTGACAAGCATAGTCTGCTCTGATTGGCCAGCTGACCCAGTGCATTCTGATTGGCCGAACACCACAAGCACTCGTCGGAAATGTAACGCCCCTTACCATAATCGCGAGCTTCAGCTTTCAAAGTAAATATCAAGAAAGTTAATAATGTGGTTAGTTTTACCATCAGTTCAAGCCCGAAAAGCACACACACACACACGACGCGTTACTCTGCGCTGTGCAAAACTCCGCATTTGAACAGTGAATAGCAAATACTTAAACTAATAACAAAACATACTTACAGTCGCTGATTCAGAAGCGCCAGATTGTCATAGCAAAGTCGGAATTGACCCTTTTTTTTATAGAAATAGCCTTTGTGCACAGCCAGCCTTGTACTCTTCTACAAAATAAAAATAAAAAACATAAAATCAATGCAGACATATGAAATACACAGCATTCAAAGCATTTTCAAATGCTAAAGAAAACAAATAAGTTTTAAGCGCACTCTGAAATACACCCAATGCAGGAGAAGATTTTACAGACAGAGGAAGGTCATTCCAGAGCCTAGGAGCTGAAACAGAGAATGCCTGATCACCTTTACATTTTAAACGAGAACGCGGAACCATAAGGAGCAATCGATCATTTGAGTGCAGAGATCTACTGGATTGACAGAGACTGATTAAATCAGAGACATACTCAGGCGCTAGGCCATGCAGAGCCTTAAAAACATACAATAACATTTTGTAATGAATTCTGTATCGTATGTGTAACCAATTTAAGGTCAGAGTCAAAAATGACAACATGGTTTTTCCACATTAGATGTTTTTTTCCCCAGGAAACAAACCCAGGCAGTCATAAACATCTTCTACACACCCCTTATTACCAAATAAACATGAATTCCCTCCTTTTAACGCACATGCTCAATCAAACTCATTCACCTGATCTTCTGCTATTTACCATATTGGCCCGAATATAAGACGACCCTGATTATAAGACGACCCCCCCTTTTTCCAGATGTACCTTTTGGAAAAAGGCTTTTTAAAAAACAAATCTTGTTTTTTCTCAGTAAAACACATTTTGTTTTCAATTATTTTCATATTGCATATTTTTCCTATTTTAATTTTTGTTTTGAAAGTATGGTAAAAACTGGTAAAATGTACCAACAATCACATTTTAAAAAATATACACTTTTTGATATACCATTAAAAAAAACAAAAAAAAAATAGGTAGCCCATCTGAATTAGGACATTTAGGCTATCCATCTAATAGTAGCCTACCAAAATCTTATTAACAGTAGAAGTTAAATCTTACTGTAGTCTTCAAATCTGGGTACTGTCTTACTTTTTAAATCACAAAGGGAGTTTGGTCCCGTCAGGCTAACGTGACAGTCACGACTCGTGCAGCTGTAAGGTTTTCTTTTTCTTTTGTTTTTACTCGCGATCTTTACAACACGCATTACATTGCGTATTTCATGGCACACTCGTTTTATGCGTATTTGGCGCCACCTAGTGTTGTGGGTGTATTATTGACATGTCAAAGTCTAGACCCTGAATATAAGACGACCGCGTTTTTTCAGATGTATTTCCAAGAAAAAAATATCATCTTATATTCGAGACAATACGGTAGTTAAGAGATAAAAATGCTATTTGGTCCATTTGGATCGACTCCAAGTTCAGTTTGATGTGAGAAATGGTATAACCTCTTGGTATTGCTATGATATAATTGTGTTATAGAACTGAATTGTGTGGGCCTGGTCAAGTGAACTGTTTAGTGTTCTCTGCAACAGTAGTTATTTAATAGTTAATTTTATGCTGTCATTTTGTTTTAAGCTCAGCCACTGAAAACTTCCATTTGTAGTGTGCACCAGATGTGCTGATTATCTCATTTGAATGCACATACACACTCGCATTAGTGATAAACTCCTTTCCTCTCACACATTCTGAATTCTGTGTTTCCTTCACCTGCACACATACTTTATACACCTCCATGTTTCTTTTACATGAGGTGAAAGTTTCGCTGAATTCGCTCCCACACAGACTCTCTGATCACTCAGGTACATCGTTTCCCAAACTACTTTGTCTTATGTAGCCCTACAGCCCCGCATCAGTAAGGCTCAAGTAGCCCTTCATCAACATCACACCAGAAATGGGTTGATTTTTAAAGGATGTCTGGTGTTTTTTGTCTTTTTGCTTTCTTGTTTAATAATTGAACTGATGGATGTCATCATTTTTACCCAGTTTACTGATTACATTAAGAATCGCAAACATTTCTGTATTACAAGTTTTATGAATTTTTATATTTAAATATGCAAATGAATTGTTATCTAATTAAATATGCACAAATTTGCATACTTTTTCCAGAACATAAATCTAAAATTGGATAAAGACAGGTGGTTTCATTTTGTTGATTTTAAGAATCAAAGGTTTTTACAGAAGGGATTTTTGATATCTCATTCTATTACAACAAAAATCAGAAAACATTTTTTTTTTTTTAAATATAATTATATTTTTTATGTATTTTTAATAATTTTATTTCATATAATTTAATTAATAATAATAATACATTTTGTTTTTTTGGAATAAAATGTTGTATAAAAGCAAGCAAATGATATGTGAACAAAGTCATCTGTAAAAAGCCTCAAAATATAGATAGGAATAACTGAAATGTTTGGTGGAAATAAGTGCTACTGAAGTGGAGATTTGAAGCTCAGTGCATGAGAAAAAAACTCAATTTTAAAGATATGTGTAAATCTACAGACGTAAATAGATAAAGTGCAATAAAATGAACATTTCAAAAATGTATTTTTTGCACTCACTAGTCTGAAAAAAAAATGAATAGCCCAAAATTATTTAGCATGTGTCTTGCCTAAAAAAATAATGACAATAATCACAATTAATTATTTAATGAATTTACAGATCTAAATTTGCAATTTCAAAATCAAAACCCTCCTGAAACCTGCTGATGTAACCCCTTGGGAACCTTTACCCCCGTTCAGGAATCCCTGATTTACATAATAATCTCTCACACACACACACGCATGTTTATATTGTGCATGTATATCAACAACAAAAAGAGAGCAGATCCCTTTGGCTCTTGCTTCCCCACTGGGCTCAGTCATCCAGAAAGCATGAGACACAAATTTTGAGGGGTGTTGTGGCAAACAATGAGTGGTGTATCTGCCCATAGCAGAACACCCCAGAAGGGACCTTTTTTAATTTGCTTCACTGTTATGCAATGGCATGACCAAATATGACATTGTTAATGTTCAAGATTTTAATGTTCAAGTAGAGGGGAGGACAGGGAGAGACAACTTTTTATGCATTTTTATAGAAAATAACCTTTAGACTAGATTAGGTTAAACTTAATTGTCATTATACAGAGAGTACAGTTAGCATCTAACCAGAATTGGAAAGAGTCATATATTTTGCAACTGCAAAAAGGGTACAGAAGGCAAAAGAACAGTACTGATGAAAAAGGATATAAATATAAAAGGTCCGCTTAATAGCGATGGTGATGTATGAATGTGTGTAAATAGAGAAGATGCTGTGAATTCATTAAAATATTGGAAATAGTAAAAATGTTCAATGGCAGGATTGTTGTAGTATTTATAATGAGGCCTAATATAATGTATGATACTTGCACCGTACAAAATATCCTGTTAAATTGCTATTTTTCATTGTTTTTTATACAGTAATTTATAGTTTTTACCTGCAAAAAACTTGAGTTTTTACAATAAGTTTACATATAATTCAGTGTTCTACTATTTGCAGTTTTTTTTTTTACTGTGTATGATAAGGTCACTTAAAGTTAACAGTTTTTAACTGTAGTTTATTGTTATTATTTTTATTATTACATTCACACATCCTGTTCCTTATATAAAGCAATAAAACAAAACAAGTTGTCAATTTGTGTGGATTATATTCGTGGCAGAATATAAAGGTATGTTTTTGCTACTCTTTACTTGATTAGTGATGATGCCAAATGATATCCAATAGTAAAAATGGACACATTGCTTGTTTGGTGTTGATGAAGTGGTGTTTGAGCCATACAAATCGGAATGTACATACTAATGTAGATCACTAGTGAGGTAATATTTCTGCCCTCTTGTGGCTGATTTTTAAAATGCACAGCAGAGCACAAACTCATCAGATTACATAACAGTGATGGCATGTCTTTAATTTCTTACATTGGTTGCCTGATTAACTGCTAACACATTTGTATCACATTGCATTCATGCAGTGTAACTCAAATTTTTGGTTAGAGGAATAATATGCTGTAATATGCTACCATTCAAAAGATTGGGTTCATTTTTTGTCACTTATGTTCAGTAATACTGCATTTATTTGATCAAAAATACAGTAAAACAGTAATATTTTGAAATATAATATTAATTTATTTAAAGGGTCATATGATGTTGCTAAAAATAACATTATTTTGTGTATTTGGTGTAATGAAATGTGTTTATGCGGTTTAAGGTTAAAAAAACACATTATTTTCCACATACTGTACATTATTGTTTCTCCTCTATGCCCCGCCTTTCTGAAACACGTTGATTTTTACAAAGCTCATCGGTCTGAAAAAGCAAGGTGTGCTCTGATTGGCCAGCGATCTAGTGCGTTGTGATTGGCCGAATACCGCAAGCGTGTGACGGTAATGTTACGCCCCTTACCATATTGTGATGATGCCCTGTCAGGCCGGAGCGATGATTCAAAAGTAGGCGTGGTTGACTCTTAACTTTTATAAAGAATATCTCTTTGGATTTGAGACTTTAGTCTTTGCAACTTTACAGATCTTCTTTATGCACCAAGAGCTTGTAACACTGCAAAGAGAAAGGAAAAATTGAAATCGCATCATATGACCCCTTTAAGATATAATTTGTTGCTGTAATGGCAAAGCAGAATTTTCAGCAACCATTAGTCTGTTTTTCAGTGTCACAATCAGTGTATCAGCATTGATACAGTGTTTCAGTGTTGAAAACAATCGTGCTGCTTAATACTTTTGTAAAAGCTGTCATACTTTTTCAGGATTTTTTGATGAATGGAAAGTACAAAAGAATAGAAATCTTTTGTAACATTATAAATGTCTTTACTGTCTCTTTTGAATGATTTAATGCAAATAAAAAAATATATATTTTTAAAAATTAGTTTCCATTTAAAAATAAACGATAAAATCGTGATGACCCCAAACGTTTGAATGGTGGTGTATGTTTCGTAGAAACATTATAATTAAAATGTACTTTTAATCACTTTAATTAATTTAAATTATTATTGAATGTATATTTTTTTATTAACGTTTGTATTAAAATAGCAAGAAGTAAAGTGACTGTTTCTTGCTTAATTATTAATTTGTCTTTTAAAAATTAAGCATTAAATTTCTACTGCATGTGAATGTGCGGCCTGCTGTGTATTTAAAAGTATTGTGTCTTCCTCTTTGGAATGGACAGATTCACTTTTTGTTATATGGGAAAAAATTAATTAAATAAACATGTATGTGTGTATATATATATATATATATATACACACACACATAAATAAATCTAAAGGTTATCACATTATATAGGCTACATACAGGTCCTTTATAGGGCATCTTTGATATATTAAGACTGGTGTGCATGAGGCACTAGGTTGGTTGAGGGGTTTGTAGTGTTTCATAGTGAAGGTGGAATCAATTTCTCACCTCGCTCAGGTTTCTGCTGAAAACACATATAGATATACAGTTGCCTGCCCCAGGGGTGTAATACAGAAACCGGTCTTTCATGATGAAATGTCCCCTGTGTCATTACCATTATTCTCTGAGTAAACTATCTCTCTCTCGCTCACTCTCTTCCCCTTTCTGCCCTTCTCACAAAAGCTAAAATAATCTGCATTCCATCGCTTACGTATGTATATCTTACATGCACATAGGTGACAAGCACATCAGCAGTATGTGTCAGATAATACAGTTGTTGCAATGTGTCTAATGTCACTCAGAGATCATGCTGCATATGTTTTTGTTTGTATGTTTACTGTAGCGCTAATGCAGTGAACAGTAGAGACGGGCTGGACACAGAAACTGGAAGCGAGTCCGTTCTCCAACACCGTCGAGAGCGGGAACGAGAAAGGACCAGACGGAGGAGAGATGAATGTGAGTGTAGCTTCAAGAATATGCCTAAATAATGTCATTTTAGCATAGGTGACCAAATCCCTTTTACACATGCCACTTTATTTTTACCACAAGCATTTTGCATTCTTAAACTTGATATAATCATGGCTTGATCCTACCGTGAGAATGGCAAATGTTTTTCACCCCCTCTTGTGTAGGATATTTGCCTCATTAGTGTGCTAAATACATTTGTCTTTTCAAACCAAGGTCAGAAAGTCATCTCTTTTTGTGTATGTTTGTTCTGTGAATATTGGTGAGTTCATCCTTGTATTTTTGTGTATGCAATGGCTTGTATTTAGCTCATTTATCATCTCAGAGGAAAGTCTTAATTTATCCTTAATTTACTTGCTATGACAGACTGAAACAACTTCATCTTTTTTTAAGTATGTTCTCACATTAATATGACTGAGCAATACAAATAAAGCAATCAGTCATTTAAATGACATTTAACAGACTCTCATTGTACAATTTGTTTCTGGTGTTTCTTTGTTCTGTACTTGATTTTCCCTTCATTGATTTTTTTGCACAATAAATAAATTCACAAATAATGAACACATCCGTACACTCTACAATGGCAAAAATGTTATACTTATTCACAACAACAGGCGTTAACAGAGCAGAATCACACACCCTTCCTGTCGTTCATTCAGCGAAGTCCTCACCCTAGCAAAACAAATGCTTTCTCACACACAAACACACCCAGACCTCTCACAATCATTTATCTGTGTGATTGTGATGGTAGCGTGGGGCTCTCTGTTGGCCCATTAGTTCCCGCTGATCATTAATCAGTGTGGCTTAATTAGGCGGCCAGTCTGGAGACAGTGTCAGTGGTGACAGTGCAACACTGAGTTCACAATTAATAGGACAGAAAGGAGAAACAAATATTAGGTATACAAGATGTACTGTTCCTCTGGGAATAGCCAGGCAGAAGCTATAGGGATTCTGGACCCCTAGACTGTATTTTGTGCTTTGCCCCTTTCTGAGTTTCCAACAAAATGCAAAGGGATGTGATGTAAATTATGTTATTTATTTATAATTATTTTCCATTTTTTGAGTTCTTATTTTTCCCAATGGAAGAAGATTTTACAATTATAACAAGACATTCAAAAAACGAACACAAAAAATTAAAAGTATATGTAGCCTAGCTTATATTTAGAGAGCATGGAGAACAGTTAGTCAGGCGTAACATTTAATTATTTATTTATTTGAAGCTTACAACATTGATTAAATATTAAATTATTTAGTATTAAATAAAATAATAATACAAATAAATAAATAAAAATGATTACCTATCCTGACGTATGTAGATGTGTATTTTAAGAACGCGAAGAACAGTCAGGCGTAACATTTATGTATTTATTTACTTATTTACAAAGATAACGTTACGTTTCACACAGTATATCTTTAATCCTCAAATTTCTGTCCGGATTTCTTTCTCACCTCGCGGGGGTTTATGAACACGCTCCATTATCTCGCCGCGGTCATATGTTGCTCGTAAATTATAATCGCACATGATTACTATTGCTTTGGTCTCACGCTCGAGCAGCGGACGCAAAAATCGAAATAGTCGCGCGCATAGTCCGAGTGCTGCTGTTGATGAATGGCAGTGCGCGCCTGGGCGAGAGTGCGCACAGAAGGGGCGGGTAATAAATTCATATCGCGCGCTCCCGCGGGAGTTCTGTCTGTGTAGTAGTAGTTTATTTCTGTGCGCCGGCGGAGAGCAGCTCTTCTGTCGTTAGCGCTTTCTGAGGTAAGGCGACTTTACTTTACATATTCTATTTAAAAGAATTAACAGAATTCAGGTTTTCAATACATACGTTTTGTCGTGTTTTAATATTATTAATTTATCAGGAAGACATTCGTAATTGGCCTGTATTTTGGGTAGAGCAAGTGAAAAGAGACTTATGTAAAATAAATGTATAAATAAATAAAAGGTATGTATAATAGTAATTTTCTTAATCAGTATTTTGTACAATATTTCAAAATATTTAAATACCATTAGAACACCAGTTGAAAAAATATATATTTTTAAAGATATTAATTATTGACTTGTTTTCACATATATTTTTTTACTCAATTTGATTGTTTCAAGAATACATTGTGTATAACTAAAATAAATTAAGTGGGAATTGTCTATAAATTTAACTAGCACGTGAAGAATTCATTTTCAGTAGATAGTAACCTAATATACCTTTATACATCACATGTGAATGTGATGTATTGTTATATTATGCCTCTAAACATGTGATATATCTTTAGGCTAGTTTTATATAGGCTGCTTACACAAACAGTGGTGATGTATTGACTACTTTGTTTCCGTTTCATTGCTGGAAGTCAAACATGGCTTTGTAAAGGATTGCCTAGTTTGCTATGTCTAGATACATTATGCTGTATCACCATCTTTTGTAGTTAGTTTGCTCTCCATCCTAAATAATAAAACATAATATAAATTAAATTTTTAAACATGTTTTGTTCTCCATTACTCTCTTGTTGTGCATTTCCCTATATCTCTTCTGTTCTTCTGCCAATTTACTAGTAACCTCCAAAAAATTAAGTAAAAATCAAAAGACTGGCATGTGAGTGAGCATATTATAGACAGTATGAGAGAGCGATATCAGCCCGGTGAAAGAAGCACTGGCCACCAGAGGCGGACAGAAACTAAGTACATTTACTTGAGTATTGTACTTAAGTACACTTTTTGAGTGTTGGTACTTTACTTGAGTATAATTTTTTCTGGGAACTTATGACTTTAACTTCACTACATTTGAAAGACAAATATTGTACTTTTCACTCCACTACATTTCTATGAAGGTCCTCGAAGTAGAAAGTCGTTACTATGTAGCAGCTTTGAAAGTCAGTGGGCCACCCAACTCTCCTGGAATGTTTTGGGTTCCACCAGAGGGAATATACAAAGGCCGGCTCACTGGGATGCCGCCGCCTCACCAGAGCCTTCCAGCCAATCAGATGCCACCCTGAGGCAGAGCCACACCCACGGGAGTGTATGTTTTCTTCTTTTAAAGTTTGTCGCTCAAGGTTTGATCAAGCCATGAACATATCTATGTATTTGGACCTCTTTTTTTCAGTGTTTTGTTGTTTCAGCAAGGCCTTGATAAGCCTCACTGTGGTTATGATTGTTGTTCTCAGTCCCACGTGTGAACGGTCACTCTAAAGCCAAGCGGGTGGTGAGGGACACAGCCATGGCCTGTGACAGTGGCTCTGTGATGAGCAGTGAGCTGGAGTCAAGCTCCTTCATTGACAGTGAGGAGGATGAGGACGCTAGCAGGTTTGGTTTGGAATGATTAAAAGCATAAACTTTTTGACATGTTATGTTTATATAACTTTTCCTGTGTGCTAGCCTTGTAATGGAATTATTATTTGGTCTTGGCTCTTGGTGCATAATTATATATTCAGTAATCAATCTGTTGTTCTCTCCCTCTGTCTCTCTCAGGCTGAGCAGTTCCACGCAGCAGAGCTCTACTTTTCAGTTAATGAAGAGACATAAGCGCAGGCGCCGGCGACACAAAGTGGCTAAAATCGACAGGGTTAGACGTGTGTGTGTGTGTGTGTGTGTACCCCGCCCCCCTCCTTCCAAAGAAACTCCTTTTTATCATTATCAAAACAGTATAAAAATGAAGAAATTTCAAAACATTTTCTGTTAGGTTTAGGTTGTGAATTACAGTATTTATGACTAGCTGTATATAAAAACAATAGAAGTCTATGGAATGTCCCCATTTAGAAAGCTAAGCTAACGTGTGTGTGATGTTTTTGTTGTATGTGGCTTCTAAGGGTCTCGCATATCTCCTCTGGTTTTGTTTCCACAGTCATCTTCCTTCAGCAGTATCACAGATTCAACCATGAGCCTCAACATCGTCACAGTTACACTTAATATGGGTAAGATCAGCTTGCTTTGTACATGCACACATACAGTACATCACAAATTCATCACTTCCATCTTCTCTTTCATTTGCACAGAGAAATATAACTTTCTCGGCATCAGTATAGTGGGCCAAAGTAACGATAGAGGAGATGGTGGGATCTACATTGGCTCTATTATGAAGGGAGGAGCGGTGGCAGCAGATGGGAGGATAGAGCCAGGCGACATGCTGCTGCAGGTAGGTTGTAGTATCTGGAATGGCACTTTTTGTGAATGGTTACTTCTGTTTGTGATTATTTCAGTCTGATTTAAAAAATGTCAGTACCAGTTGTTTTTTGTAAACAATGTAAAAAAGATATTGCAAAGAGGCTGTTGTCAAATGATGGGTCATTGAATGCTATATGAGCAAAACCACAGCCTGTGATTTAGCAGAACAAAGTTCTCATCATTTTGCAGCAAATGGTACAGAAAGATAGTGGGAGATGGTCTTGAAAATTACAAAATATTATTTTTAATAATTTTACTATCTTATAAGTAGACAAAAATGTTGTGGTCATATAGGCCCTGTAGTTTGACCAACAAAAATGCTTTATATGGATAGTGCACCCAAAAATGAAAATTCTGTCATCGGTTACTGACCCTCATGTTGTTCCAAATCTATATGACTTACTTTCTTGTATGGTACATAAAAGATTGTATTTTGAGGAATTTTGGTAACCAAACAGTTTTGGATCCCATTGGCTTCTATTATTATTTTTGACCGAAGTCAGTGGGAACCAAAACTATTTGCTTACCAACATTCTTCAAAATATTGTCTTTTGAATAACATGAGGGTGAGTAAATGAGACAAAAAGTTAATTTTTAGATCGACTATCCCTGTAAAAACACCTAATAGTTCAGTTTTTTACTTGTTGTTTGAAAAGCAGATTAGTATAATGCAATGGATTGGTTCTGACGGTGGAAGATACTGTGGTGTATTAAAGCGATTGCTGCAGGGACATACAGCTTGTATTTACATTTGATTTAAGGGATGAAATTGAGCAGCTGGCTCTGTGCTCTGTGGCTTTAGTTGACTGTAAATGCAGATACAGCCTTCAAATGCCTCCAGCAGCTGCTGATCCCTGTTGAGCAGCAGATTACAGTAATGACTGCATCTTTATATTGGCATCACACAGTGTAGGGCACTGATATTAGGATTATTACCTTCAGGTATGAGTATTAGATCAGTTGAATGCTTTTTTTTTTATAAGAACTTAGATGGTCCTAGTTGACTTGTGTGTTCATGAAAAATTGCGCCGACGGATCTGAGTTAAAGAGCAGGCCATAACGGTTTTCGAAAAACTTTTTTTTTTTTGCAGTTTGTAACGTAGCTATTCTTCAATGTAAACAGTCTACAAAGTTGTTAATCAAAAAAGTGCATGATAAATAAAGATATTGTCTCTCAAAAGAAACAGTCGACTCTGAACTGCCTTAACGAGTCGTCATATTTTCGAATCTTCTGCGTGTTACTTATATACGCCACAAGGTAACAAATTTGCATAATCCCCGCCTGCCCGCGAAATACGAACACTCTGACCTGCCCACAAACACTTCCGCTAGTTAGTGTGTTTACATCATGTCGAGAAGACGCTGTTTTTTCAGCCTCACTGGGCATTCTAACACAGTTCCCACACGTGCACCTCAAATAAGTCAATAATAATAATAATGAATGCAATAAAACTGCTGTCACATCACGTAAAGTACCACATACAAAGTTTAAACTTACCACTGAGAAACGTCCTGATCAAATCATGCTTGCGATGAAGTTTCCGGTTGAGTGACTGCATCGGTATCATCGGATTCGGGCTCGAATTGATAAGGCAATAACAATGTCATTTTTGTAACCTTCTAGCATCTTTGTTTACAAGTAACCCTCCGGAGCAAAAAATGTATTATGGTAATGAGCATTTCGTTTCCGACGCGCATTGTATACGGAAAGACCAAACATAACAGACTTGGCCAGCTGACCAATCAGAGCAGAGTATCTCTTATATATATCTTAGCTTATAGAAGGGAGGAGTTTACAGACCTTAAGCTCAGAACTGCTTCGAACGAATCGTTTCGAAATCATCGAAAAATTATTCTAATATTAAATGTATATTCTGAGAAAATTACAATGTTTTCAGACCTTAGATGCATTTAAACCTGTTGTATGGGACTCCAACACAATATTAGGACACTTTAAAATACCATATGACCTGCTCTTTAATACTAGGTTTATAGGCTACTTAAACTAGGTTTATACTATAGCTAAACTCTGAAATGATTTTTTTCACCACCATTGTTGCCAAATAGATTAAAAATGTTTAATGTAATTATTATAAGTTCACTTTTAAAGTAAAAGTCATTACTTGTAAAATTAATGTAAATACGGCATGGTTGTAATTCAAAATAATTGGGAATATATTGTGAATAGTTTTGAATATCCAAAATATTGTCCAGCCCTAATGGTAACATATGTTTATGCCACATTTTGACTTACAGGTAAATGACATGAACTTTGAAAACATGAGCAATGATGATGCAGTCAGGATCCTCAGAGAGATCGTCTCAAAGAACGGGTGAGAATGAACTGGAGAAAGATGTCTGAATTGTTACAGCTTAGATGTGATTGCATGTTAACTAGCTATTGTACTTGTTTTCTCTAGTCCCATCAGTCTCACCGTTGCCAAATGCTGGGATCCTTCCCCTCGCAGTTACTTTACAATACCCAGAGGTCAGTATGCACAAACTCTTGTTCTACATTTCTCTCAAATGTAGAACAAGAGATACACAAAAGCCAGGCACAGATATACTTATCCATCTTCTCTGGCTTCTCTTTTTTCTTTTCCACAGCTGAACCAGTTAGACCCATTGACCCGGCAGCATGGATTTCCCACACTACTGCACTTACAGGATCTTACCCACAAAACGGTACAGTCTTTTCTGTTTGATAGATCACAGCATCTTTTTGCAAAGCATAAAGCTAATCATCCTGTTGTCTTTCACAGAGTTTGACGATCTCCCTCTTACAGTGGGAAAGACAGACATGGCCACTGTTGTAAAGGTGATGCAGCTTCCAGACTCAGGATTAGAAATAAGGGACAGAATGTGGCTGAAGATTACTATAGCTAATGCTGTTATAGGTGAGCTCTCTTTTTCTTCCTGTTTGTGAGATTTTATTACTGTTGATGTTACAAAATGATGCTTGTTAAATTAGACTGTTAAAGTTTTTTTCCTATATTTTTACTTCAGTTGTATCTGTGGTGTTAGTTGTTCATGGTATTAGAAATGTTTTTATGGTATTAGATAACTAAATATACCTGGTGTATAGGTTTTTATTTGTAATCTGTCTGGATCTCACTTTAAAGGAGGTGATGTAGTAGACTGGCTCTACTCACGGGTCGAAGGATTCAAAGACCTATATATATATTACTTTATTTCAGTTTATGGAAATGTTTTTATGGTATTACTTTCTCATAGTATTAGCAATGTTTTTATGTTATTGGATAACTAGATATTTATTTGTAATCTGTCTGGATCTCGCATGTTACAGGAGGTGATGTAGTAGACTGGCTGTACTCACGGGTCGAGGGATTCAAAGACCGGCGGGATGCCAGGAAATACGCCAGCAGCCTGCTGAAACATGGCTATCTCAGACACACTGTCAACAAGATCACCTTCTCTGAACAGTGTTACTACACATTTGGAGATCTCTGCCAAAGTACAACACATCTCTACATTTCCATTAAAGGAATAGTTCACCCAAAAATGAAAATTAGCTGAAAATGTATTCATCCTCAGGCCATCTAAGATGCAGATGAGTTTGTTTCTTCATTGGAAAAGATTTGGAGAAATTTAGGATTATATCACTTGCTCACCAATGGATCCTCTTCAGTGAATGGGTGCCGTCAGAATGAGTCCAAACAACTGATAAAAAAAAAAAAAACATCACAGTAATCCACACGACAGTCAATTAATGTTTTGTGAAGTGAAAAGCTGTGTGTTTGTAATAAACAAATTCATCTTTATTTTTCTTCAAACCATTGCCTCCAGCCTCTATTTATAATATTGCTTTCTTCAATCAGGAGAGAAATATGCACAGATCAAGCACCGTTTACAAGCAAAAACAGTTTGAAACCGTTCTAAACAAATATGTTGGTGGATTTTGTTGTCAGAGGATAATAGGGCATGTACTTTTTCACTGGAGGAAGTATTATTATGGATTATGGACTGGTATTTTGACCAGAAGCCACAGTTTAAATGTAAAAAGCATTAATGATGGATTTGTTTCTTACAATCAAGCAGCTCTTTACGTCAAAATATGTTAATTAATGGACTGGAGTCTTGTGGATTATTCTGATGTTTTTATTAACTGTTTGGACTTTCATTCTGACGGCACCACTGATCTATAATAGAGAACCTCAGTATCAGTATATATAGATCAGAGTGGACGGCACCCATTCACTGCAGAGGATCCATTGGTGAGCAGGTGATGTAATGCTAAATTTCTCCAAATCTGTTCTAATGAATAAACAAACTTATCCACATCTTGGGTGGCCTGAGAGAGAGTATATTTTCAGCTAATTTTAATTTTTGGGTGAACTATTCCTTTAAGTTTTATACTGATCCATTCAGACGTTACATTTAACCTCTTTATATTTCCTTCTTTCTTCTTAGATATGGCTACACTAAACTTGAATGAGGGATCGAGTGGTGCTGGTTCAGAGCAGGACACATTGGCCCCTCTTCCCCCTCCGTCCACTAACCCGTGGCCCATGGGTGGCCAGCCCTTCCCCTACCCACCCTTCTCCACAGCGCCCTCTGGTTTCCCCCCAGGTTATTCCGACCCCTGCCACAGTTTCCACAGTGGCAGCGCAGGAAGTCATCACAGTGAGGGTGAGTATGGAAAGGTTATCCATGACTTAAGACATTCAGATTAACTGAATCACAGTAAGAGCTTCCAAAATAAATCTCAGTCTGGTTCAAAACTGAAATAATACAATCTTATAATTTAAATAATATAGAAATATTATTTGAGGTTGTTGAAAATGTATGAAATAGCCAGTCTTGTGTCAAAGTATATCACATTTGCTTGCACTCTATCTAACTGTTTTTGAGTGCAAGAATTATGAAAATATGTGGCTTCGCACATCCCTAATATGAATTTCATGCATGACTAGTATTATCTACTGTATATACTGTTATCTCTGTACAAGGGTTATTTCATGAAATTATTGTCTTCAAATATGGTCGGCCCATCCCAGCTGTAGTATTTTGTGGGGTCTCTGAAGATCATAAGTTTAAAACCTATCAGGCATCTCTCAGTTTATTGTCTTCATCATTTTTGGCCACATTTTAAGAATTGATTTTAGCTCTTGTCATGATTTCAGCTGCAGTGCTTGCATTCATCTCATTCACTATTGCTTTTTGCTTTCAACAATGATGCACTGCACAAACACATCCATCTCAATCCACTGCTTCACATTAATGCATAACCTGTTGCTCATTTCACACATGCCATGCACCAGCTCAGTGAAGATGTCAGGAAGGAAACTCAGCAGCCTGTTGTGTGTGTGTGTGTGAGTTGTCTGTAGAGAGCAGTTGGAGTGATCTGCTATCTCTTGAGTGAAGATTCAGGTGTGTTGTGAGGTTTGAAGCAGATGAATAGGCCCATAAAAGTCAAAGAAAGTAAAACTAGGGCAGATGTTTAGTTGTGTGGAAAAACATTTTAAATATTTCAAGTACATGGATTTTATATATATACTACCATTCAAAAATCTGGGGGTCTGTAAGATTTTTTTTTTTGTGTTTTTGAAAGAAGTATCTTATGCTCACCAAGGCTACATTATCAAAAACACATTAAAAATAGTAATATTGTGAAATATTATTACAATTTAAAAAAAACTGTTTTCTGTTTAAATATATTTTAACATGTAAGCTATTACTTCAGTCTTCAGTGTCACATGATCCTTCAGAAATCATTCTTATCCACCTTATTTTTCCTGTAAGAGCGGGCACGGCCATTTATACATTTAATGTGTCTGGCTCCCGGTCTCATCTGCTTCCAGCTATTTTTAGCTGTACAAAACAGCTCGTTTTACTACTTGATATTGCAAACTGGTGTTTCTTACCATATTATCTTAATGTATTACTTTAATTATAAACACACTGGTTTGTAGCTCAAACAATTTTACCGTTTACAGCACTTTGTTATTCCTCTCGTTATTTCCCTACCGCGGCTAATGAATCGGGAGTATCGCACATTCACAGAAAACCGCTTACTTCTGCGTTAAAAAATAAGGTGAATATGCTGATTTGGTGCTCAAGAAAAGTTTCTTATCAATGTTGAACTTTTTTTTTTTTTTACAGTAATATTTTTGTTGAAACTGCAATACATTTTTCAGGATTTTTTGATGAATAGAAAGTTATGAAAGAACAGCATTTAAAATAGAAATCATTTGTAATATTATAAATGTCTTTAGTGCCATTTTGACCAATTTCATACATCCTTGCTGAATAACACTGTCAATTTCTTTAAAAAAAATCTTACTGACCCCAACATTTTAATGATAATGTAGATTTTCAATACTGCCCTACAAAGGCAAAAGACCTTAACTCGCTAGAGTGTGACACTGAGAAAAATGACTTTAAAGTCTTTTACTTGTCCAGCCAAATTAATTATAGGTAGGACACTGGAAATTTAACAATTAGATGTTTTAGTAATGAAAATTATCTACATTAAAAAATTGTGAGCTCAAACTTGATTTTTACCGCTATTTTGAAGTTAATGTACTCTGCCTTTGCATTGTCTGCAAAACGTGAGAAGGCACACCAAGGCAAAAGGCAGTAACTTCCATATTATCAATATTTGGTTGCTGATCACTATTTACAAAATCATTATAGTAACACCTGTATAAAATCTAGTGATCATGGGCTATCTCATATAGGCTATTGCATATACTAATGTGACTGTATTAATTGTTTTGTTTTTTTTACCTTAACAAGCGGACTAAAAGTTAAACATGTGAGTGCATACTGTGGATACCAATTTATTTGCTATGCTCATTAACGTAAAAGAATGCTAGATATAGCATAATTGCTTTTATATTGACTTGTATTAAATAGCCTAAACTAAAAGAACGACTTGTGGATTGATGTGAACGCCAGCAAGCAGGAATAATGCTCAGAATGCTTGTGGATTAAACATCTCCGATGACGTTCATCGCCAT